CATGTAAGTGGACAAAACAAGGTTTGCATTTAAAACAACATAATAACCCCACCGTGTAAAAATAATGCTCAAGCATGCAGATTCACAATTCATAAACCAAATACTCAAAAACATTAATCTTAAAACTCCAATAAACCCAAACTCTCAAATCACATCTCCATTCCCAAAATTATGCAGCACCTTCCAACCCACTACATACCTATATATATATATATATATACACACATACATAACCGGGGGATTGTTTGGCTAGTACGCAGGATTTCCAGGTGCTAACCCGCGTCCAGGGATGAGTAGTCCAACCGACGGACGGAACTCCATAGCTCACACGCCGGCACTGCCAACGAGACTTGTAGCTCACATATCCAATATCAACTCCTACGCGTGTAGACAACATCATCACACACCGGCACTGCCAACGACATGTGTGATGAATCAAGCAATATACATACTCTTCCCATACACTGGCACTGCCAACGACACGTATGGAAAGTGTCTCACACGCCGGCACTGCCAACGACATGTGTGGGAAGCCTAGTAACCAGGGGATGGTACTAACATAGCATACTCATACATCTCTCAACAACCCCTTAACTCAATCTTACCACAATCTCATATGAACCACCCCTCATACTCCATACATAGGCAATATAGATAGAAATCCCAAAATCCATATAAACATACTCACGTTACTCAAACATATCCATATCCAAAATATATTACCAATACGTATAAGAATATCAAATCCCATCAACCAAATATTTATTAAATCCCATATACCATTTAAAACGTATGCACAAATCTTTTATCAATAAAACCATGCGTATGCTTGAAAACAAAGTCCACTCACAAGTAATCCCAGGCTGCTCGACCCTGCGAGGGTCTCGCCTGCTGTGTACGATCAAACAGAGCACCTATTTCGAAATACGAACCCTTGATTAATATAACGAACTTCGAGACGGAAATCACAAAAGAAAATACTAAAATCCCCAAGTTCCCGGTGCGTGTACGTCCAATGGGATATGCTAAGGTCTGGTTACAAGTTTAGGAATCGCTTACAAAATGACGGTTATCGTTAACTCACAAACTTTGAATTATTAAATCGGAACATCCGGGGCTCCGATTCACGATCCGCGAAATCCTATAGGATTCTAAGAGTACCTAGATCAACATACTTCAATTTTGAAACGATCCAACGATCAGAAACTATCGAACCTAGATAACGCACAATATGCAGAATCCGTTCGGTAGTCAAACGACGTCCGAATTGAGATCCGCGAAATCCTACACGCTCGTGAAAACCTAAGGATCTTATCAGCATAAAATGCAGCTTCACCACCCTTGCCCACGCTCTGCCACAAGCGCCGGCAGCACGTGGGTGTGTAGAGAAATTTCCGGCGACGGAAAATCTCCAAATTACAAGCCACCCTTCCTATCCAAAATACTACTCGACGAATGGAGCATCTTATTCAACTATGGCCAAGCCCAAATCGGATGGCAACTGGCTGGAATTTCATATTGAATACCGGCCAAAACCTAAATTGAAATTAACTTCCAAAACTTCCAAATCGTTCCAATCCTAAGCAACAGACAGCTAGAACAGATAAAAAGAGGAAGAAAGCCCACCAGTTTTACCTGAAACTGATGGCGGAGGCGGCGGCACAACGATCAGAAATTTTCGATTTGAACCAATTGGTATCGTGGCTGGGATTCGAGGTTTTCGGTGGGGAAACTGGGTGGTTCAGGTTCGGGACTTCGATCCAGAGCTAATGGGACTGGTGCCGGCCCTTGCCATGGCCGGTGCTGCGAAAATCGAAGAGAGAGAGAGTGACGGTGTCGAGAGTGAGGAGAGAGAGAGAAGACACACGGAGGAGAGAGAAAGAGTGAAGCAAAAGTGAAAATTCTGATTTTTACTCTAATCCTTTTTTGAAATAATTACCGTTTTGCCACCGAACTTGTTTTGATCGCCAAATCTTCGTTACAACTTCGATTCAAGCCTACCGCATGTCTACGGATTCGTCTCAGTACCACCTATGCAACCAAACCACTCTTCGTTTCACTTAATTGAATTAAAATAGGTTGGACCCTGTATGTGGATAACAGGTCCAAGGATCTTGAGTTTGCAGTTAGGGATTGGGTGTTCCTGAAGCTATCTCCTTGGAAGGGTGTAATGAGATTTGGGAAACGTGTGAAGTTAAGCCCTCGTTACATTGAACCCTATGAGATCAAGGAGCGAATTGGACCTGTTGCCTACAGACTTGCGTTACCCCCAGAATTATCTCGAGTCCATGATGTATTTCATGTATCTATGCTACGAAAATACATGGCAGACCCTTCTCATGTGTTAGAATATCAACCTGTGGAGTTAGAAGAAGATGTGACATATGAAGAGCAACCCGTGCAGATCTTGGATAGGAAAGAACAAATGTTGTGTTCTAGATCCATCTCGGCAGTGAAAGTGTTGTGGAGAAGCCAAACTGTTGAAGAAGCTACTTGGGAGCCCGAGGAGCAGATGCGGGCCAAGTACCCGTATCTCTTTCATTGACAGGTACGTGAATTTCGAGGATGAAATTTTTCTAAGGGGGTAGATTGTAACACCCCGACTCCAAATTTATTCATATTTTAATTTAATTAAATGAAATTACGAATTTACCCTTAAGGTAAGGGTAATTTGGTCATTTTCTAATCTGAAAGGATTTTGGAACCACAAGTGGTTTGATTGTGTAGGTGGTACTGAGACAAGTCTGTAGACATGCGGTAGGCTTGAATTGGAGTTGTAACGAAGAAATGGCGATCAAATTACTTTCGATGGCAAAACTGTAAATAATTCGAAAAGTGTTAAGAGTAAAAATCTGAAAAATTCACTTTTACCTCACACACTCTCTCTCTCCCCGAGCTCTCCTCCCTCTCTGCGATTTCCCCCTCCCTGTTACTGTTCAGCGAGACGGAAACCACCTCACAGCCTCCAAGTTCGGCCACCTCAGCCCTCAAGACTAGTACCGTTTGACTTGTCGTGAAGTCCCGAACCTGAACCACCCAAAATCCCGACCGAAAACCTCAAGAATCGTCGACGGTATGGACTGGTTCGAACCGGATCAATTCCGACGTTGCGCCGCCTCTTCAGCCGTCCATTTCCGGTGAAATTGGTGAGGGCTCTTCCTCTTTTTCAAAGTGAAATTTCGGCTAGTTTTCGTACGAATTGGACCTCCTTGTAGTTGGATGAAGTGATCTTGACCTTGAGAAGTACCTAGGGTAGGAAGGGTGGCTTGTGATTTGGAGATTTTCCGTCGCCAAAAATTTCTCTACACACCCACGCGCTGCCGGCGCGTGTGGCGGCGCGTGGGGAAGGTGGTGAATCTGCATGTTATCTTGATGAGATCCTTAGGTTGTCACGAGTGTGTAGGATTTTGCGGATCTCAATTCAGACGTCGTTGGCCTATCGAACGGATTTCGCATATTGTGCGTTATCCGGGTTCGATAGTTTCTAACCGTTGGATCGTTTCCAAACTGTTGTATGTTGAAAGCATCCTAGCAGTTGGGATATATTTTATGTATATTATGCAGGTTGAATATTTGTTGGGTTTGTGCATATTTACCGGGAGACTCTGCCAAATTTTTGGTAGAAAGTCTCGGTTTTTAGTAAGTGGGCCCGACATCGAGGTGATGTCGGTAACAAAGACGGGATTCGCCCTGGGCTAGGGGGAATTCTGGGGCGGGTCCTGTTTGCTTGGTATCAGAGCATTAGGTTCATTTTCCTTCGACTTTTGCACTTTTGCTACATTGTTGATACTAATGATTCTATGGTTTCTTTGTGTAGAACCATGTCTGCTCGCAGAGCAAGAACAAGTGGGCGCAGTCAGAGATGGAGGCCAAATCCTCCACCTTCATCTCCATCACCACCTCCTTCACCACCAGTTCCTTCGCCTCCACCATCTCCACCTGCTGGAGATAATGCCTTGGATTTGCGCCATGTGCGAAGCCAATTCACACGCACGATGACCACAACTTTGCGTAGGAGGCGTGGTACTGAAAGTTCATAAATTAAAAGAGTCAAGGAACTTGGAGCAAAGGAGTTCATGGGTTGCACAGACCCAGCAAAGGCCGAGTGTTGGATTTCTAATGTGGAGTGGATTTTTGAGGTTCTGGAGTGCCCAGATGGAGATAGAGTTCGCTTGGCCACTTTTCTGCTGAAGGGAAATGCCTACCACTGGTGGAAAGCAGTGAAAAGAGGTTATGAGGATCCGGCTGCCATTACTTGGGAGGAGTTTTAGAGGGTCTTCTCCGAACAACTCTATCCACCTTCCTATCGGTATGCCAAGAAGTCGGAATATTTGTATCGGAAATAGGGGTCTATGTCAGTGTTGGACCCACACCCATGATAGGAAGTTTTAGTATTTCCTTACCCATGAGGGAAGTCTTGTATGCAGACCAAGTGTTCAGAGAATGTTATGTCCAAGTAGACGATGCATGGTTGGAAGCCAACTTGATTCCTTTATAATTGGTGGATTTGGATATCATATTGGGGATGGATTGGCTAGAGAAGCATCATACGTCAGTGGATTGTTTTCAGAAGGAAGTAACACTTCGGAGTCCAGGACAACCCAAAGTTATCTTCCGGGGATAACATAGAGTCCTCCTACCTGTCTTATCTCTGCTATTACAGTTAAGAAGTTACTCCAGAAGGGGTGTGAAGGATATTTGGCTCATATCATCGACCATCGAGAGATCACCCTGAATCTGGAAGATATCCCGTTGTTAGCGAGTTCCCAAATGTCTTTCCAGATGATCTCCCTGGGTTACCTCTTGAAAGGGAAATTGAGTTCACTATCGAACTTCTTCTAGGCACCAATCCTATCTATCTAACTCCTTATAGGATGGCACCAGCTGAACTCCGAGAGTTGAAGACTCAGTTTCAGGAATTAGAGGATATGGGATTTATCCGACCCAGTGTTTCTCCATAGGGTGCACCGGTTTTGTTTGTGAGAAAGAAGGATGGGACCATGAGGTTATGTATTGATTACCGGCAGTTGAATAAGGTAACAGTACGTAACCGATATCCCTTGCCTCGGATTGATGATTTGTTCGATCAGTTGAAGGGTGCTGAGTACTTCTCTAAGATCGATCTGAGATCAGGGTACCATCAGTTGAGGATTAGAGAAGAAGATGATTTGTTCGATCAGTTCAGAACGCGGTATGGTCATTATGAATTTCTGGTGATGTCATTTGGACTGACCAATGCTCCAGCAGCGTTTATGGATTTCATGAACAGAGTGTTCCGACCATACTTGGATCACTTTGTGATTGTGTTCATAGACGATATCTTGGTTTACTCCAAGACTTTGGAAGGGCATAAGAAGCATCTAAGGTTGGTATTGAGGACTTTGAGGAGGAAACAGCTTTATGCCAAATTTAGTAAGTGTCAGTTCTGGTTGGACTACTATCGTCTATGAACACAATCACAAGTGTGATGGAAGTACGGAGTTTTCTGGGGTTAGCAGGCTACTATCGTCGATTTGTTGAAGGGTTCTCTTCGATAGCAGCGCCTCTCACGCGGTTGAAAGGAAAGATGTTACATTTGAGTGGACGGAGGAGTGCGAATAGAGTTTTCAGGAGTTGAAGAAGCGGTTAATGACCGCACCTGTTTTGGCTCTTCCTGATAACTCGGGGAACTTTGTGATCTACAATGACGCATCTTTGTAAGGTTTGGGATGTGTTCTGATGCAACATGATCAGGTGATTGTTATGCCTCGAGGCAACTCAAGAAGCATGAGCAGAATTATCCGGTCCATGATTTGGAACTTGCTGCAGTGGTGTTTGCTTTAAAGACTTGGTGGCATTACTTGTATGGTGAGACGTGTCAGATTTTCTCTGATCATAAGAGCCTCAAGTACTTGTTCACTCAGAGGGAACTAAATATGGAGCAGATCTTTCGTAGCACACAACTTCGTACCTTATGTCAGTATGAGACCGACACCCATGACAGGGACTTTTAGTATTTCTCTACCCACGGGGGAAGTCTTGTATGCAGACCAAGTGTTCAGAAATTGTTATGTCCAAGTAGAAGATACATGGTTGGAAGCTAACTTGATTCGTTTAGAATTGGTGGATTTGGATATTATTTTGGGGATGGATTGACTAGAGAAGCATCATGCGTCCGTGGATTGTTTCCGGAAGGAAGTAACACTTTGGAGTCCAACACAACCCAAAGTTATCTTCCGGGGAGAACGTAGAGTCCTCCCTACCTGTCTTATCTCTCCTATTACAGCCAAGAGGTTACTCAAGAAGGGGTGTGAAGGATTTTTGGCTCATATCATCGATACTCGAGAGATCACCCTGAATCTGGAAGATATCCCCGTTGTTAGCGAGTTCCCAGATATCTTTCTAGATGATCTCCCTTGGTTACCTCCTGAAAGGGAAATTGAGTTCACTATCGAACTTCTTCCAGGCACCAACCCTATCTATTTAACTCCCTATAGGATGGCACAGCTCCGAGAGTTGAAGACTCAGTTGCAAGAGTTAGTGGATCTTGGATTTATCCGACCCAATGTTCCCCTGTGGGGTGCACTATTGTTATTTGTGAGGAAGAAGGATGGAACCATAAGGTTATGTTGATTACCGGCAGTTGAATAAGGTGACAGTACGTAACCGGTATCCTTTGTCTCGGATTGATGATTTGTTCGATCAGTTGAAAGGTGCCAAGTACTTCTCTAAAATTGATATAAGATCAGGGTGCCATCAGTTGAGGATTAGAGATGAGGATGTTCCCAAGACCGCATTCAGAACGCAGTATGGTCATTATGAATTTCTGGTGATGCCGTTTGGACTGACAAATGCTCTAGCAGCGTTTATGGATCTCATGAACAGAGTGTTCCGACCATACTTGGATCACTTTGTGATTGTGTTCATAGACGATATCTTGGTTTACTCCAAGATTTTAGAAGGGCATAAGAAGTATCTAAGGTTGGTATTAAGGACTTTGAGGAGGAAGGAGCTTTATGCCAAATTCAGCAAGTGTTAGTTCTGGCTAGACAGAGTGGTATTCCATGGACATGTAATTTCAACTGAAGGGATTTATGTGGACCCGCAGAAAGGTGAGGCTATTGTGAATTGGGTACAACCCACAAGTGTGACAGAAGTACGGAGTTTTCTGCGGTTAGCAGGCTACTATCGTCGATTTGTAGAAGGGTTCTCTTCGATAGCAGCGCCTCTCACGCGGTTGACGAGGAAAGATGTTACATTTGAGTGGACGGAGGAGTGCAAACAAAGTTTTCAGGAGCTGAAGAAGTGGTTAACCACCGCACCTGTTTTGGCTTTTCTTGATGACTCGGGGAACTTTGTGATCTACAGTGACGCATCTTTGCAAGGTTTGGGATGTGTTCTGATGCAACATGATCGAGTAATTGCTTATGCCTCGAGGCAACTCAAGAAGCATGAGCAGAATTATCCTGTCCATGATTTGGAACTTGCTGTAGTGGTGTTTGCTTTGAAGATTTGGCGGCATTACTTGTATGGTGAGACGTGTCAGATTTTCACTGATCATAAGAGCCTCAAGTACTTGTTCACTCAGAGGGATCTGAATATGAGACAGCGGCGTTGGCTGGAATAGATCAAGGACTATGATTGCACGATTGAGTATCATCCAAGCCGAGCTAATATGGTTGCAGATGTAATGAGTAGGAAGCCTACTGAAAACTTAGCTCACACTAGGACGACCTATCTTCCGTTGTTGGTAGAACTGCGGAAGGATGGAGTAGAATTAGGAATGACTCAACAGGGTGAAATCCTGGCTAGCTTGCATGTGAGACCTATTCTGGTGGAGAGGGTAATTGCAGGCCAGTTGGGAGATCCTACACTTTGTAAGATAAGGGGACAAGTGGAGAATGGTATGCGGACGGATTATGCCATAAGGGGAGATGGAGCGTTGGTAACAGGAGCTCGTCTATGTGTACCGAGTAAGAATGATGAACTGAAAAGGGAGATCATGGAGGAAGCTCACTGCTCCGCTTATACTATGCATCCAGGTAGTACGAAGATGTATCGGACCCTATGGGCGTATTATTCTTGGCCGCATATGAAGGGAGACATTGTCAAGTATGTGAGTAGATGCTTGATTTGTCAACAAGTGAAGGCGGAGCGACAGAAGCCATCAGGACTGATGCAACCACTTCTGATTCTTGAATGGAAGTGGGAACGTATCACCATGGATTTTATTTTCAAGCTCCCTCGTACTTCTAAGGGACATGATGGGATTTAGGTGATAGTTGATAGACTCACCAAGTTCGCCCAATTCTTTACCCATCAAGGAGACCTATCCTTTGACAAAGTTGGCAAAACTCTTTGTGGATGAGATTGTGAGATTGCATGGAGCACCTGTGTCCATTGTATAGGATAGGGATGCTAGGTTCACTTCTCGATTCTTGAGGTGTTTGCAAGAAGCTATGGGTACTAGATTGCAGTTTAGTACAGCTTTTCACCAACAAACTGATGGACAATTGGAAAGGACCATCCAGACTCTGGAAGACATGTTGAGTTCCTGTGTGTTACAGTTTAAGGATGCATGGGATGTTCACCTTGCCTTGGTGGAGTTTGCTTATAATAACAGTTATCATTCGAGTATTGAGATGACTCCTTATGAGGCGTTGTATAGGAGGTAGTGTAGAACTCCTATTTGTTGGAATGAAGTGGGTGATAAGAAATTGGAAAAAATAGATAGTATCCGAACAACAAATGAGAAGGTGAAGATGATAAAGGAGAAGTTGAAGACCACAGAAGACCGATAGAAGAGTTATGCGGATAACAGGTCTAAGGATCTTGAGTTTGCAGTTGGGGATTGGGTGTTTCTGAAGCTATCTCCTTGGAAGGGTGTAATGAGATTTGGGAAACGTGTGAAGTTAAGCCCTCGTTACATTGCACCCTATGAGATCACGGAGCGAATTGGACCTGTTGCCTACAGACTTGCGTTACCCCCAGAATTATCTCGAGTCCATGATGTAGTTCATGTATCCATGCTACGGAAATACATGCCAGACCCTTCTCATGTGTTAGAATATCAACTTGTGGAGTTAGAAGAAGATCTGACATATGAAGAGCAACCCGTGCAGATCTTAGATAGAAAAGAACAAATGTTGCATTCTAGATCCATCCGGGTAGTGAAAGTGTTGTGGAGAAGCCAAACTGTCGAAGAAGCTACTTGGGAGCTCGAGGAGCAGATGCGGACCAAGTACCCGTATCTCTTTCATTGATAGGTACGTGAATTCCGAGGATGAAATTTTTATAAGGGGATAGATTGTAACGCCCCGACTCCAAATTAATTCATATTTTAATTTAATTAAGTGAAATTACGAATTTACCCTTAAGGTAAGGGTAATTTGGTCATTTTCTGATCCAAAAGGATTTTGGAACCACGAGTGGTTTGGTTGCGTAGGTGGTACTGAGACGAATTCATAGACAGGCGGTAGGCTTGAATTGGAGTTGTAATGAAGATTTGGCGATGAAAACAAGTTCTGTTGCGCTATCGTCTTTCGAAGTAGTTAGAGTAAAAATCAGAATTTTCACTTTCTACCCCACACTTTCTCTCTCTCTCTCTCTCTCTCCCCGCCCCCGACTTTCGTTTTCGCCGGATTTTCAGACGGCAAGAACTCCACCGTTCGACCTCCATTTCAGGTGCCGTTTCTTGCAAAAGCTTCCTCTCTTCCTCCTCTACCCATCCCACCCTTTTTCTCCGATCAAAAACCTGGTAAATGGCGGTGGCAAAGACGTGAAGATTCAGCCAAAACGGTCAACGTCACCGAAGACGTTTCAGGCCACCGCAAGCAGCACCGTCACTTGGAACAGGTAGCCCTCCTCTCCTTTGAGCTATTTCCTAGGTTGTACAACAACAATGGTGATGGTGGTTGCTGGATCAAAGCCGTGAAGTTCAGGGTTAAACCGTGAGTTTCCGACGCCGATTCCAGCCACTTGCTTGATTAGATGAAAGAAATGCTCAACTCGTTGAGTATAACCTGTAGCCGTGAGGGTGGCTTGTGATTTGGATATTTTTCGTCGCCGGAATTTCTCTACACACCCACGCGCTGCCGGCGCATGTGGCGGATCGTGGGCAGGGGTGGTGAAGTTACATTTTGTCCCGATGAGATGCTTAGGTTGTCACGAGTGCGTAGGATTTTGCGGATCTCAATTCATACGTCGTTTGACTATCGAACGGATTTCGCATATTGTGTGTTATCCGAGTTTGATAGGTTCTGACCGTTAGATCGTTTCCAAATTGAAGTATGTTGTTCTAGGTACTCTTAGAATCCTATAGGAATTCGCGGATCGTGAATCGGAACCCCGGATGTTCCGATTCAATAATTCAAAGTTTGTGGGTTAGCTATAACCGTTCGATTGTAAGCGATTCCTAAGCCTGTAACCGGAACTTAGGATATCCCATCGGACGTACACGCACCGGGAACTT